CCCCAAAACCCCAAAACCCCAAAACCCCACCTTGCTAAATAATTGATAATTTTGATTTTTCAAAATGGAGAGAAAAACTAAAGCACAATAAAGCTTGGCAGGAAAGATTGACAAGAAGACTAAAAGAGTCTTAGAAGATAGTGATTATAGCTAGGACTCTGATGATTAGAAGACAAATAATCGTAACAATGGCATTAAGTTCGATAACATTGGCATGCCAGATAATGACTCAGATGATGATGGCTCATTCTTAATTGGAGGCAATTAGCAATAGATGTTCTCCAAGTTTGAGAACAAGATGAAATAAAGTAAGCAGTTGATGATCATATGATTTTTAGAGAAACATAAGGATTCAGGCTAAGAGGATGAAAAAGGCAGTCAACCAAAGATTAGAGTAATTCAATTATTATAAATGATATTAGTTTCCAACAATATTAGCTGAAAATTCAGCAACGATCCCAGAACTTGAAAGAGAATTGATGCAGGCTTTGCAAAGAGATGATAAGCCAATGACAGTTAGTGCTTTAAACGCTTTGATATGGAGAATGGGTGAGAATAATAAGGAGAGAAAACTTGAATATCTTAAGAAAAAGTATCAATTGCTCAAGGATTTGGAGTAAAAGAGAATGTGTGAAGAGGTAATGAGTGAGATCTTGAGGCTAGATCCTACCAATGCTACTCTTAAAGTTGAGGTCATTAAAAAACACTTTACCTCTGGAAATGTGTGGCAAGGATATACTGAGTATATGAGGCTTGAAGCATTAGCTGAGTTAAGAATTTAAGAGGACCCACATAGCTAAGAGACAATTACAATATTAAGCGAACTGGAATAGTTGAAGTATCTTATTCAAATAAATAATGCCAAATTGAATGAAAAAGGCATTTATAATCAGTTCAAAGTCACTGGATCTAATATCAATGGGACTGTAGGAATAGGGAATGAAGATGAAAGCGCTGAAATTGTGCATTAGTTGCCATAGTTCAACAACAGGAAGGTATATGATATTGTACTCGCAGATTTTCACAGTTTGGTATTAGCTTCAGGATGTAATTGTGTAGATCCGTTTAAAGATCATTGCAAGGGCTAGGAACTTTGCAATGGAGGTAGTGTTTTAATGGGATGGGGATTTAACATTCATGGCTAGGTAAATGGAATACCTTCAGACAGACCAGTCTTAATGCCGAAAATCGTGCCATTTTTTGAAGGCAAAAAGCAAGTTAAACTTATCGCTGCCTGTAGATCTAGATCTATCGCGATTACTACAGAAAATGAGGTGTTTGAATGGGGTTTTACTGGTGAAGAAGGGTAATAATTTTAGAAACTTTATGAAATGCCTGAAGAAATAGTAGAAGTTGCCCTGGGTACAGAATTCAATATGTTTTTAACTAAGAATGGAAATATTTGGATTTCAGGTGAAATTTCATAGGAGGGCGAAAATGTAATCAATACTTGGACAGGTCTTATCAATCTAACTGAAAGAATGACTGAGTAAGAGAGAGTAAAGTTTAAGAAGATTTGCTGCGGCTATTCACATGCTTTATTGATAGATGAAAACTAAAAGGTCTATTCATTTGGTGCAGGGTTATATGGCTAGCTCGGTCTTGGTCTAGATCAGCTAAAGGCTAAATGGCCTCATCCAGTTCAAGATGTAAATGATGGTGGAGATGAGGTTCTTAAGATTGCTTGTGGTGCTAACTTTTCTTTGTGCTATACTGATTATGGAATAATCTATTACTGGGGTATGCTAGTGCCTGATAACTTTGATAGTATTCAATGGCTTCCAAACTTTCTCACCATATCTTTACCAAAAGATTTAACATATGAACAACATTAATCATTTGCATTGACAGATATCAAAGCAACTTTTAGAGAAATTCTTGCTTGTGACACAGCAGGAAGAATCTATCACTGTGATTTAAATTATACTTAAACGCTTAAACCTTATAGTCAAAAGTTGCAAAAGCAAATAGGTAGTTATGGGCATAAATTACTATTGGGTAGGTCAATGCATTTATTCATGCAGACTTTAATTAATCCTGGACAATGCCAACTCTAGGACATTGATTCTGAGATGGAAACTTTAACTGATAAGAACCAAGTTACGGTCAAACTTTTTGATAATTATGGAGAGCCACATTACTTTGACCCTAATCTTAGCTTTGAGGAATTGAGACATAAAGTTCCCATTTCTATAGTATTCAATTAAAGTGATAACTAAGTCTAAGTAGATTACAATCATTTCTCAGTTTACTAAATTAAAGGTCTTAGGGAATAAGTATAACCAACTAAAGATCAGAAATCAAAAGACTCCAAGCCTCCTGAAGATTTCTTTAGCTACGGAATCAATGAGTTTAATTAAATAAAATTCAAGATTAATTACTCAGTAGACACAGATGATAACTCTCTCATTAATATAAAGATCAATCCTTAATAGGATGGAGATTTCTTTATACATGTTTTCATTGGCAACTATGAGGTCCAAAAATCACCATAAGATGTGACAATATGTAAATCTGAGGAACAAAAACGTCAAGAAATGTTAGCACAGGAAGAAAGAGAAAGATAAGATAAGTTCACAGAGTAAAAAAGACAAGTGAAGCAGAGAAAGTTAGAGCATAAACTAAAGAAAAAGAATGAAAAAGAAGAGGATAAGATGAGATAGCATAAACTTAAAGAGGAATAACTCTAGAAAAAGAGAGAACAAACAGAGAAAAGAGCATTGGAGGCAGTTAGAAGAGTGAAAGAAGCAAAGGAAAAGGAACTTAAGGTGAAGGAAGAAGAGAGATTAATGAGAAAAGAATGTAGAACAGGTGGTGGATTTAATATGGCAAGAATTAAGAAGGAAGAATGATTTAAAACAAATAATTCTATCGCTACAATCAATTTAAGAATATTAAATCATTTTAGTTTTGATATATTAAGATAATTAAGTTTTATTAATAAAAACTCTCAAAAGTTGAATATTTTCTCAACAGAAATTAACATCTCCTTATTTCTCAAATGTTTGCAGTTGGCTTTATAAATTCCATGCTCTCCTCTCATGCGAAAAGTCTAAACTTTATTAGTTAATACTTGATTACCAAAGAAGTAATCACTGTAACTCTATCCCTATTTCTTTTAAATTTCTTAATTAAGTTCAAATACTTTGGGTTTATCAAAATTTTAAATATCAATCACCAACAATCTATTTGTAGTTTCAAGAGTAAACACATTTATACCACCAAATAATACCAGGTAACATCCTTAATAAAGAAACATTGCTGGGTATGAATAAGTGAAATTCAATTACTTAAGTTGCTAGTTAATTGAATCTGTATTCAAGTATATATCTTCAACAATACTTTCAAAATCAACCTTTAGCTTATTTTTTGAGCTTTGATCTGGCATAAAGTAGTAGTTCATTTAAGTGAATTTATTAGCTTAACCCAAATAGAAAAATTACAATCCTCTAGTTTATTTTAAAAAATGAGATCCAAATTTATTACAAAGTAAAGTTGGAGTAATTAAGCTTTTTTCAAAATTTTTCAGAAGAACTAATTTTTCTGAAACTAAGTCATAGCTAAATAAATATTGCAGCCAAGTTAAATTATTATGACCTCCGGCAATAAAAATATAGTTATTGTATCTCGCTATTGCTGAATAGTCAGTGCTGTATTTCAAATAAGTCTCAGACAAAATCTGTGTTTAACTAACTTTATTTGGAACCTAAAATATGATAATCTTATTATATTCTTTTTTGTGGTTTTACTTTTCATACTCATCTGAGTATGCCCTTACCCCCAATTTAAATATATCCAATTCAGATTGATTTGAATAAGCAAATAGTATTCTATCAGTCAACCAATTGAATTAAAGACTATGAAGTTTCTTATCAAGCAATTTTTCAACCAGAGTATTTTGGGGAATTAAAATATTGATGTTGTAAGTTTTTGGAAGTTTATCAATTTATTCCTTTTCATCTTTAATAAATGATTATGTTTTTAAAAGGAACAGTTAGAATTCTGATGTCATCAATTCGATCTACTTTGAAGTGATAAAATCCAACTAGTTATAAGTTTTAAAGCTCAATTCTTTAAAAATCAGATTTATACTCTAGTTTTTTAAATATCTCATATAGCAAGGCTTGCAAATGTAATTTTAAAAATTTTTAATCTTGTAGACATCCTGAATCTTGACAAATTTAATGTTATTTTAACCACTAATACAGCCTTTATCATCGAATGTCTCCATATAGCAAGAAAAAAGATTATCAAATCATTATATAAATTACAAATTTTAATCTGATTTGTCATTAAAAAGATCAACTTATACATTGTTTTATTTGTCAAAGTTTATTTTTAAATCAGCTTTTTATAAAATCTATTTATTATTATTTTTAAATTATACTCCTTTGATCTTGCTTTTGGATTAGAGTTCTAATTTTAGATAAAGTAATTTCTAAAATTTATCCAAAGAGAAATAGCCTTTTTCTCTTTCAATTGAATGGATTCTTTCTCTTAAAATAAATTAATTATGAAGGTGAGAGGGCTGTCTATAATTTGTCTCTTTTAAATCGCTTAATTTTATTATTTTATTATTTATTTTAGCCAAATTATAATCTTCAAATAAGTCTAAAAGTTTTGCATGTTTGAATCTTAAGAATTTCTTTTATATATATTTGTAATTTTATGATAAATCTTCTTTTGAGTAACTCCAATAATTAATTTTGTTTCTATTTAAATCAAATTTTTAATTTAGAATAATTATTACTGTTATAAATTATTTGTATTTTTTCATTTTTTTCAAAAACTTTGTAAAATTAATATTCTATATACCTTTTTTCTCAATAATTTTTCCAGTATTTTATGTAATAATATCAAGGTAGGGTATTTCTCCAATAATATCATCTTAAATAGAACATATTTTTACTTAGCCACTATAGAAGATAACATTAAATTCTGTTTTTTAATTATTTTAATATTGTGACTTCTTTGCAGAGTATTTTATTTTATCAAAGCATTATTTGACATTTGCAAAAGGATTTTTATCAGTTTCATCTGTAATGATTTATATGTTGTCATCAACAAGGATTTTATTTATACTATAAAGAGATGCTATATTATGAGCAGATTGCTACGAATGCTTTAAATCAATCAATTCGCCTCTTGAGTATTCTTCATAATTATTAATTCCAATTGCTATTAAGTTTTTAGAGAAAAATAACTCATCAAGAAGTATCTTATTACTCAAATTCCTAGTTTCCATTAATTGATGATAATTTTTATATTTCAATATAATATAAAATTTTACCTATTCAATAATATATATTTAGTAATAGGGGTTTTGGGGTTTTGGGG